AAACCTTATGGTTGTACGGCAGTGAAGCATCAGTGCCAACACTGATGTTGCCGTCTTTGATGATGATGATGATGCCCCGGAGAGTTTGTGAACATAATCCGGTCCCTATAGTCGCATACTCCCGGACTGGTACGAGTTTACTGGGAGCTATCTACAGCTTCACCAGAAGAACCAGCATCCGGAAAGAACATTCATTATCTTCATTTTTGTTCAACTCTGTCATCGATTAAATATTGAGGCGAACTTCGAAAGGCCTTTGTTGATGAGAATCCTATCGACATGCACTGTGCAGACCAAGACCAGGAAAAAACTCCAATAAACTGGTCATCATCATGTCATCTTTCGGCATGCGTCTTGCACTCACAGATTTCAAAGTCACGCTTTAAGCCGTGAAGTCTCCGAACAGCCTTTCTGTGATTTAAGAAGTAGGGGAGTTGTGGAGAAGTTTGCCTAACTTGGTAGTTGTATAGATCTGACGTCAGTGCAGGGTTGAGTGGGTCGAGAGTATACGGATCCTATCTTTGCATTGCGCCACATGCTAGAGCATCGTCACATATACTGCCGGCCAACAACCGCGGTTTTCCTCGACTGTAAAGAAGCCTTCGACTCAGTGGATAAGTTGGACCTGTAAAATATTCTTGGATAGAGGGCGTGGACCTTCTTCGCGAACATTACTCCCATTCCTCCGGCCTGGTTAGGGTGTACAGTGAACCGTCTAAAGTCATCCTGACTTGTGGGCTCGTCAGAGTTGTCCCTTCTCTTATTCTGTTCAACGTTATCATGGATTGAACCTGAAATTAAGTAGTAATATTACATACGGAGGCAGATAGCGGATTTGGATTATGCGGACGACATCGCTGTTTTTTACGGCTAGCTGGCTGCGCAAATTACTTTAACAATACCAGAGATAGTTCCATGTTTCGGCAGGAATTGTGCACCATCAAAGTGCAAAGTTTAAGTTCAAGATTTCCCATCCGAAACTTCATAATGAAGGGGTTGGACTTGTTGATCGATTTGCGTGAGTTGTGTAAGCCATGATTATACTGTATCAAACGAAACTAATGTGCAGATAGTCAAGGCCCGACAGCGTTCATCAAATGGCGTCAGGAGCTAATTTCGCTGAAGCAAAAGGCCCGTGTATGAAAGGTATGTGTAAGACCGATTTTATTCTATGGTTGTAAAACTTTGCTCCTCCAATCCGGAGATCTTGGGCGTTTGACAAAAGGTCCCTTTGGTATACCAAAAGTTTGCTGCCTACAGCGAGTACATGACGATGTGGTGCGCAAGCAGGTTTGTCCGAGCAGAAGTTGAGCGGCCACTGTCAAACTGAATGATTTGGGATCTTCTCACCTTCCTCATTAGGGACCACGCGGTTACGCTTGCAGGGCACACATGTAGCCCATTCAAGTGATGCGCACTCTGTCCTTTCCTGGCTGTACTGCCTAGCTAAGGTTCACCTGTCGTTGTGCGCTAAGCTTTTGTCGAGTGAGGTTCGCAAAGGACGCTGCATCAATCCCGTTGGCTGTAGGTATCTTGCTCTCGTCTGTTTTCCTTACTGATGGTGAACTTGTTCGCCTTAAGTCCCAACCCTTCAGTTTCCTTTCCACTCTGCACTAATGCTTTTTTCCTTCATAGTTGTACAGTATTTAAGCACTAGTGTATACCAGTGATGTATTGCTCAATGATGATGCTTCATGTTATCTGTCCGTAGGGACAGATTACATGAAGCGTCTTCAGTTTTCTGACCACCAACGTCCCAGATTGGTTGCGCGGATAGCGTCGATAAATAAGTAACAAGGCAATTAGAAAACGGGTGACTGACTATGCAGCAGGTACTTCAGTCACTACACTTCAAATCCCGAGTTCGGAGCCACCTAACGACAACAAATTGGCTGGGACAGTGTCTGCAATTGTTGGGGATATCAATATCCACCCCCCCCC